GTGATACAAATAATTTAAATTCGATATTATCAGATATCACAAATTTTCAAAATAAAGAATTTAGATATATCTTCTGAATTTGGGAGATATTTACGTAGAGATTTGATCTCTCTAATCTATAGAGTATCCCTGCCAGACTGTCACCGACTAACACTATAACCACTCACCCCATAATTAAATCATAATTTTAAATTTTCTCCTAATACTTATTTCAAGTTTCAAAACTCAAATTATTTTCGCTTATCATTCTATACTATTCTTAAAAGCAGGGGAAATTTTTCCCGCCCAAACGCATCTACGTTGTGAACTGTCTATTTCCGTGTGTAATAATGTTGAAATAGAACGCTCACGTGTTTAATAATTTATAATTGTTAAACAGTTGAACATTTTTATATAAATATATTATTTTTGTTAGGCATGTATTACGTTAAAATAGCAATAAAAATACTAAGCTAAAAAAGGTAAGAATGGAAATAGTTTTGAAATAGTGAAATTTGCACTAAATATTACTAAAACATAATGATTTTCCTAATCTAGGACTTAAACTTTTTTATTCCGTAAATAGGACTTATTAATGTTTTAGAGGGAGGAATAATGTCCAGTAATGATGGACATTTACTTGAATAATGACTAATTTATAATAACCAAAAGTCCTACATTGGGAAATAAAAACATATGGTCTTATATTGGGAAAGTCATTATGTTTTAGTCATATTTAAGTAAATTACTCATTGAAATAACGTTTATTTTTAGGAAACTTTTTCACACTATTGCCCAATATATCTTTTATATAATGTCAATTTAATTATGGAAAGGTTTTAATAGCTTTTAAAAATTTTTCGCTTAGCTTTCAATCTTATGGTAATATATTACCTTTTATAGAGATAATTAATTTCACTTACGGCACATTATTACCTTTTATAGAAGAAATAAGTTTTTATTACTTTTTTATGAAAATTTTGGTTATTAACTAAAATGTACATTATTAAAATAAATTTAAATAATGTTAATTTTTTTTACCTTTGATGTTAATTTTTTTGACTCCAAAACAATCTAAATTTGCACCCCGCAATTGACGTGGTTAGGGGGATAAATTGGGCTAGGAACCGAGTGGGGGTTTACCGGGGGGCTAGAGGGGTTATGAACTATCAATTTTGCTTCCGTAGTCACTCTTTTTGAGTGGCTCTAGAACCCAGCCGTTAATATAATTACGTTATATTAATATTCCATCCGTTCGGAAATGATTTTCTCATTTGACTTTTCACGGTCTCCAATTTATACTTTGACCATTAATATCTACATTTATACATAAATATATTTTATGTAAATTTAATATTTCAAAACTACGTTTCATAAGGAAACTATTGATATTATATTTATATCAAAATACAATGTATTTTTTCCAAACATCAAGGTCAAAGTTTACAAACTTTGACCAATAAAAATCATGGAAAGATCATTTCATGAGGGAGGGAGTACCTTTTATGTAAATATATTATTTTTGGAAGAAATACATTATTACCTAGCCTTTTCGTCGAAATACTAATAAAAATACTAAAATAAAAATGGTAAGAATATAAATAATTAAACAAAGATGAGTGAATTTTATGTACCATACATTATTATTACGTTTTCATTGAAATAATAATAAAAACAATAAAATAAAAATGGTAATTAATTTTTTTATTATATCACTTTCAATTTTGTAAAATTCGGGTACTAAATAGAAGTTTATATAAATAAATTATTTTATATTTTGTTTCCTTTTCAGAAACCGTTTACATATTTATGTTACATTATTACCTTTTATGGAAATATATTATTTTAGGATGAAATAATTATTACCTTTTCGTCGAAATAGTAATGAAAACAGTAAAATAAAAATGTTAAGAATATAAATAATTATAGAGAGATGAGTGTGTTTGATGTACCATACAATAATAACAATAATAAATGTGTATGGTGCCATTAATTATGGTATACCGCAAAATAGATGCCATTACTAAAAAATTTTCATTTGTTAAAGGACTAGGTTTGTTCTGATAAAATTATAAATTATAAAAAAAGAGACGTCATTAATTATAGTGTGTCCCAAAATTATACTTATTATTATGAAAGGGCTAACAAGGCTAATTGATACATTTCCCAAAAGAAGTCAAAATATTTTTCAATAAAAACCATGGTGATCCTCCCTTGAACACCGGGATAGAAGCCACCATCGAAAGGTCTGACCAATTGTATGAGATGAGTGGGATAGGAAGTGAGGTGACTGCGATGGATTTAGAAGCTTAATGCTTCTAAGTCAGCTTTTCTCTTGCTTTCCTCTGTGTGTTGTTTCTCTGTTTGAGTGTGTTTCTCCGCTTGTTCTGCTCTTTGTTGCTTGCGGTTGTATTGCTTTGCTTTTGTTTTCTGATTTTTATGCAGATCATTATATGGAACTGTCAAGGGGCGGCATCTAAAGAGTTTGCTAGAGCTGCCAATTGGTTGATCAAATATCATAAGCCCCACATGTTGTGTCTGCTTGAGACAAAAATGGCAGGCGAGAATGCTGACACTGTTTGTAAAAAGCTGGGGTTCGACAACTGGGCGAGAATAGAAGCAGTTGGGTTTAGTGGAGGCATATGGTCCCTATGGAACGATCCCCTAAAAGTTACTATTATTTCTACCAATCCCCAGTACATGCTGTTAGAGGTGATGAATACAAGCCATGACAAGTGGACCTTTGCAGTTGTATATGCGAGTCCCACTCCTCACCTTCGCCAGAAGCTCTGGAACACCCTCAAGAGGGATAATCTTAATATCACCACACCTTGGATTGCTGCAGGCGATTTCAACTCGGTCACTAAGAAAGAGGAAGTTAGTAACCCTGACCACTTTGAGGCACACAGGTGTTCTAGATTCAATGAATGGATCTTTGATGAAGCTATGATTGACCTCGGGTTCATTGGCCAATGTTTCACCTGGAAAAGAGGTACTGATAACGTAAACTTTAAAGGAGCCCGATTAGATAGAGTTCTATGTTCGATTTGATCTGGCTTGACAGGAACACAAAAACAGAAGTTCGCCATCTTGCTTCGAGCAAATCTGATCACTGTCCGATCTTGATTTCTCTAGGGGATCAAAGTGGCACTAGAAAAAGTGGGTTTAAATATCAAGGGGCGTGGGCCACACATCCCAACTTCCTCGACATGATTCGAAGAACATGGAAAAAAGAGGAAAATGTTTGGGAAAACTCTAAGAATATGGCTACTGCTTTTGCTGAATGGAACCGTGCAACCTTTGGGAATATCCACCAAAGAAAGAAGAATTTGAACAAGAGATTGGAAGGGGTGCAACGAGCTTTGGACAACAAGCACCATCCGGGTCTTATCAAACTTGAGAAGAAGCTTCGAAGGGACCTCGATAATACACTTCATCAAGAGGAAATTTTCTGGTATCAACAGTCTAGGGAGGAGTGGATCACCTCAGAAGATCTGAATACAAAGTATTACCACACTATTGTCAATATAAAAAAGGCCCGAAGACAGAAAATCCAGCTCAAAGCGGAAGATGGTTCTTGTCTTAGTGACAACGATATGGAGAGAACAGCAAATGATTATTATAGAAATCTCTTCGCTAAGGAAGGTGAAACTGAGCTTAGTGCAGTTCCGAAAGGCAAGTTCCCAATTATTAGTGTTGTAGTCTACAATTTATTAGGAAATGATCAGTTATTCGTTGTGATTACTTGTGAGTGGTCTCTGATACTTCTAGATTGAGTTTTGAAGACAATTGGTGAAATTTTCAAGGCACAGGCTGCTGTAAGGGAGTGTCGAAGTGGTAAAATCCCGATCTATTAACCAAAATGTTCATGAAAATATGCCCTTTC